GCAGTTAGATAACAGTTAAAGGGTTCGAGAATGACAAATCGTATTTGCACAAGTCTGTTTGATTCCTCACGGGATTGGTTCTTATTCCATCTGGGGCTGGCTCCTGACCCGTCAACCACTTCCACAGATCAGGATTCTCCTGCAATCACGAGAAGAAATCGTCTTGAATAAATTTGTTCGATTTGCCAGCAGACAAAATAGCTCTATTAATGCCTGTTTTGTACGGTCAATAGGTTCTTAGTTTGAGTTTGTTCATGTTAAAATGAAATACGCTTAAGATAAGAACCCCACGCCTTATGGAAGATCCAAGAAAGAATTTCTCTTGAAACTTGAAATGTATAACAATCTCCGATCCTGTCACTAGAAATCAACGTTTTTGTGTCTCCGAAACAACAGAAATACCTCAAATGTTCCGTGGATTCATTAAAAAAACACCAGTCATGGTCCATACGACAATACATTCTGATTATCTGCATTACCTAATACATTGCCATTCACAATGTATCATTCCCGAACAGCACCTAAAGATCAGATTAAATGCTTCTGATCCAACAACCATTGAATTTTCATCATTTGGTTCGGTGTTGACACCATGCTTGTGACAAATACCAGCCAAGTCACAATTTCTTGATAGTTCCCTAAACTAACTTTCGGAAAATTCATTTGACCACAAATTTCATAGAGGAATTCGTCATAAACTTGTACAGTTATACTGAATTCCTCCAAATTGACCATACATAAAAACAAATTGATACAAATTTTATCCCTGCACTGATCAAATAATGAAATTATAGGATCCATATTTTGTGAAATGCCAAAAGAACATATAAGCCCTGTTTGGTAACATAGTTAGTTTATCAGCTAATTTTGGCTTATTTGACTACTATTAGCTGTTTGACTTGGTTAAATAGCTAATATAAGTGTTTGATTAATTAGCTTTTTATAACACCTTATTGCTCCAAACTATTAAAATTCAAAAAGCTGTTCAAAGTAACTTTTTCAATAAGCTTTTTGAGAAAGTCATTTTTGCATGTAATCAGCTATCAACTAACAACTAATTTCAATCAGCTAATGATATCAACTAGTCAAACCCACTAACCCAATCAACTAACAGCTATTTACCAAACACCCCATAATTTATTTGTACTTATTTCTTTGTCTTTCTATTTTTTTTCTTTTTCAGGGATAGGAAATTGGCTGTGATCACTATTATGAAAAGGATTGACTAATAAGATTATCAGTCATTTCCTCTCAGAGTTTGAACTAACAAGCAAGAATCAAACATGAAATGCAGGTATAAGTAAAAACTATGCCAGAATGCCACACAGATTATAGGAGAAAACAGAAACACTCAAACACAAGAGTAAAAAGAGAAATTTGAAAATAATAAAAAAATTACCACATCAAGAACATGAACAAGAGCCTTAATTCCAGTTTCATCCATGGAATGGATATGATCCTCCACCCATTTGCCCAGAATGAGGTCCAGCTCAAGGTACCCTCTTTGTTTGCTCCTATATAAAAGCCTAAAAACACAAGAAAAAACAAGAATCTTAAAAATGATCGAAAATGTTTAAGATTAAACAAAATTACCAAAATAAGGCACCTGTTGACTAACCGCCTTTTGGCTTCTTCATCGGAGAGATCGATACCTAGGTTAGAAGAGCACAAACGCGAGAAAGAACCCAAAAGCGGCCTGATAAGAACAGAAAAATTAAGGAAATGTACTGCTGATTACGATGAACAGCACAAATTGGAAAGTATTCTCAAGCTCGATGAGAATAAATTGGATTTGGTACCTGTTGGAGGGGATCGGTGAAGTTTGATTTGTGGGATTAAGGAGAATTCGAGCGAAGGAGGATACAAGAGACCTTCTCGTGATCGCCATTGTTTTTCTTTCTTCAAGAAGACAGGCAAAGGAGTTTACAGGTCGGAGAAGTTGAGGTTTATGCTTTAATAGTCGAAGTTGTCGTTGCGTGGCCTTTCTCTATCCGCTTATAAATGGGCCAATTCTGTAACCGCACTGCCAAAGTGCCAAGAACCAACATTTTGTAAGTTTTTTTAAGCAATATTATTCCCTTAAATTTGTTACATAATATTCATACGCGATCCACCAAATTATATCACGAATCAGGATTCACATTATATTATGAATCATGATTTAAAATGACATTCAAATTATATGTCTACAGTTAACATATTATATATTTGCAGCTAACAATTTATATATATGTTAATAAATTAAAAACACATAATCATGTACCTACAGGTAACATATTATGTGTATGTAGTTAACATATTATTCCATATTTATCTTCAATTTATTTACATAATTACTAGTGATAGCAATTTCAATCCGCCCCTGTGGATATTCACCCGAATCCACCCCGATCGAGTTATTTTGGGTGGTAGTAGATCGGGGATGGATCTTAAAAAAGTAAACCAGCGGTGGGTCGAGTTAGATTCGGGTTGTATGTACAAAACCTGCCTAGAACCTCACTCGACTCATCATGTAGTTATTTATAAAAGTTTTTATAACTTCATGTAAATTTTTACTATTTTTATATAAAAACTACTAAGTTTATTTTTAAAAATTAACAATTTAGTTATTATATTTAAATATTTCTATTATTTTATGTTTTATATAACTAATGAATTTTATTATTTTATTATGTGTAGGTAATTTAAATATTATTTTTTTAAAAAATAATAATAAGATTATAAGTGGTGTGTACCCGTAGTGGGCACCAGCACTCGATGGGGGGTGGGGTGGGTTTTGAAAAAGTCCCGCAAATTGTGCTGTGCAACCGTGTGCACTATGTATGGTGCACATGGTTGCAAAAACGACGTCGTTTTGACTAAAAACGCGCATCCCACTTAAAAAAAAAAAAATCAGATTCGATTCCCGGCAATAGTATTTTTGTGTGCATAATTTGAATTATATATCCACAAATTCATAACTATATATCCACAAATTCATAATTATATATCCACAGTGAATGAATAACATAAAATCCAGAATGAATGAACAAAATATCCACAATGAATGAACTAAATATCCATAAATTCATAACTATATATCCACAAATTTATAACGATATATCCACAATAATTCATAACTATATATCCACAATAATGCTGTTGAGGGGAATTGAAACTGAATTTTTTTAAAAAAAAATGGGACGCGCATTTTTAGTCAAAACGACGTCGTTTTGCAATCATGTGCATCATGCATGGTGCACACGGTTGCACAGCATAACTATTCAAAAAGTCCACCTGATGCGGGTTGGGGTGGGTGTGGGTGGACAAAATATAAGGTGGGTTGGGTGATGGATGTATCCCTCCCCGACCCACACCCGACCCATTGCCATCCCTAATAATTACATGCACATAGTTTATTAATTGAATGTACATAATGACCTTGTTTGGTAAAATAGTTAGTTTATCCGTCAAATTTTGGCTTATTTAACCATTATTAGTTGTTTAACTTGGTTAAGCAATCAATATAAATGTTTGATTAATTAACTTTTTGTAACAACTTATTACTCCAAAATGCTAAAATTCAAAAAGCTGCTCAAAGTTACTTCTTCGATCAACTTTTTGATAAAGTAATTTTATATGTAATCAGCTAAAAGCTAACAACTAATTTACTAAACACTTTTTTACAATCAACTAATGTTATCAACTAATCAAACCTATTAATCCAATTAGCTAACATCTATGATCTATCAACTAACAATCATTTACTAAACACCTCCAATATGTTAACTGACAGATAATTTTTGAATTGGGATCCTGCAAAAGTGGACTCTAATGTTTGATACAATTCAAAAATTTTGTTAATTGTTTATATAATATATACATATACATTATGCAATTTTTTAAATTGACACTATTAATTAAACTAAAAAAAAAAAAAAAAAAAGAGATGCGGGTCAGTATATAAATACACAAATATAATCATCTAAATAAAAAATAAAGAGTTAATTTTTAAAATGGTCCTCTGATTATGACATTTTTTCAAATTGGTCCCTTGATTTTTATTTTTTTTAAGTGATCTTTCGGGCTTCGACTTTTAAATTTTAAGTCAAAATGGTAATCTGTTAGCTTTTACGTTAAGTTTGTTTAAAATAAAGAGTAAAATTGAAAATTTAGATTTTACACTCCAATTTAAAACAATTTGTGATTCCTTTCATCAGCATGCACACATATTTCTTCAAGTTAGATTTTTATTCTTCTAAATCTGTAATCAAAATGTGGGATGTTCTGGCTTTCAAAAGACGAGTAAGAAGCGACTGATCTGTCTATTTTTATTCTACCGGATCAATTAAAAGGTCAAAAAAAATTCATCTTCAAATTCATATATCGCCAAAGGCCTTGTGGTCAAGCAATATAACTATGACTTCTCAAATGAAAAGTCTCAGGAGTCAGTTGCGACTTGACCCTTCGTTAATTCAAGGGACACATAATTCTTTATTTAATCTAGAAATACAATAATTAGGATAATAGTCACACATAATAAAATATTCGTAATATATTTGATTAATTCAAAAAGTGCATTGAAGAATAAAAGAGATTTGTAGTTGAAAATGTCAGTGAATTATGTTTAATAATTTTTATTTTCTTTTCCATTCATCTTCGCTAAATAATTTTATATACTAATATCACATATACTTTACGTTAACTCAACAAGCCCCTATAGCTCAGTGGTAGAGCGTCAGTCTTGTAAACTGAAGGTCTGTAGTTCGATCCTGCATGGGGGCACAGACATTTTTGGAGAGCGTTTTTGCTTTTGCTCTCATTTTAACACGAGCTGATTGGAGACAACAATTAAAAGTTCGAATATAATTGGGACAGCATTTTTGCTCTCATTTTAACATGAGCAGACTGCAGACAACAATTATGTGGAATAAATTCTCCTAAAACCTTATTTTTCACGAACCAATCATGCTATTAAACATAATTATGCATAAATGTTTTTTTTTTTTTTTTTAAATACCAATAACTCTTATATTTTTTTACAAATAATCTTTTGGGAAAGCAGTCATGTCCAAGGAAAATCAATGGTTAAGCAATATAGATCACAAGACACCAGCTTTCCTTCCATCTCTTCATCAAAATCTCCAATCAGCCTCAGAAATTGATCTCTCGTCTCTCCGCGAAAAACTTACCACTCACAGATAAGTCGGGTTGCAGCGCCAACCAGACTGCAGTATCGGCTGCTTCTTCGGGAGGAAGATTCCCTGCCCAACCCGTCATGGCAGTCTTCACCCAACCCGGGCAATAGCAGTTTATATATATCTTCTGGCCGTCAGGGCGGTCTGAAAGTTCCCGCGCCATTAGCCTAGTGAAAGCATTTACCGCGAGTTTTGACAGTGAGTAGTCGGTAAAATTTTGAGGCCATCCGTGAGATTCCCAAGTCCCGTCTTTTACTTGTTCTAGGAATGTGTTCAAAGCCCGATCAATCAGTTCCTCTGATAGCGATTCTATGTCCTCCAGTTTGTGTCTCAATTCAACATCTCCGATTCTCTGGAAAAATCAAAAATGCTTTAAGCTTTATTAACTAAGATGACTGAAAATGCATGTTCTAAGGAATATCGAGTAAAACTAACATTCTAACAAAACTTAGCATCATGAGGAATTGAAAAATATTTGGGAAAAATTTGAGCCTTACATTTCGCCTTCCATTCAGTCTTCCTAACCGTGAGCTCACATTAACAACTCGACCACCTGAAGTTGAAAGCCTCACTAATGGTATTATGGCTTTGATCATATTTTTTGTGCCATAATAGTTTGTCTTGATAACTGTTTCTGCGTGTTCCACAGAGTTTTCTGAGCCAAGATTGAAATTGACTCCAGCATTGTTTATCTACGTGTTTACTAGGCGTTAGTGAATACTCGACGGAAAATACAAGAGAAGGAAATATACAGATAATACAACATAGCATTGGCTAGAAAGAATCACAACATATCCCCCCCCCCCCCCCCCCCCCCCCCCCCCAACATCTTCCACCCTGTTGGGCAGAGGCTGGTAAAGGGCCAAGTCCATCAATTGGTGGCTAGGGGGATTGTTGGGCGGAGGCTGGTGAAGGGCCAAGTCTAGCACCCTGCCTCTCGAAAGTGTGTGGCGGTATAAGGAAATAAAATTGCGTCTTCGCTACTAGCTATAGCTTTTGGCGTAAGCAGTAAGCGCTTGATCCTAACCACTGTTGCAAAAATCGGTCTAGGCGCCCACCTAGGCGCCCCTAGACCGTGGCGATTTTCCCCTTAGGCGACCGGCTACCTAGGTGCCCGCCTAGCGCCTAACTAAGAGGATAACATATCATACCAGTATGTCTAAACCACCAAATTGTTCTTTTAGCCAAGTAGAAAATGACTCTATTGACGAAGGATCCACAACATCCAGTTGATGGAACGCCACTTTCAAGCCCCCTTCTCGCATGACTTTTGCTGCTTCTTCACCTACACTTGTGTCCCGTGAAGTAAGAACGACTGTTAACCCATGCATCCCAAGCTGGCGTGCGATCTCAAATCCGATTCCTCTATTTCCACCAGTCACAACTGCGACTGTGTCTGATGTCCACCATCTGAACATAAATCAGCATATCGGTCCATTATGCATTTGAACGGAAAGTACTATGGTTGTTCTCCAACCAAAACTCAGAATATATCGCCCATATTGGTGATCTACCACAAGATATCTTTCAGTAGAGGGAGCATATTACATACTTATATTTCGATTCACAAACCATTTTTGAAAATTCCAACTATGATCAAAGTAAGATCAAGAAATGCCATATGTAGACAATTATTATAACTTAAAATGTGAAATGCACTAATATTCAATAGACATGAACATAATCAGGAATATCACACCATCTTATATACACCAAAAAGCTGTAATAATAGTTGCATAAATAAATTAAATAATTTTCATGGCTTTGATCATTTTTTTTAAGGAATAACCTTAAGGATGTCATCCATCTATCCTCTTTCTTTGTCCAAATATGAACTGTGTTTATGATTTGGCATAGTATTCAAGTGCACAGTTCTTGGCAATCAGGTCATGGGTTTAAGCCCAGAAAAGAATATCTCAGGAAAATAAAAGCGAGGTTATTCACATCAACCATCCCCAAGCCTAGCACAACACAATAACCAAGTGCCCTATACTATAATGACTATATTAATTGCAAATCTGCAAAATTATTCTTCATGAATTTGTGATCAACTCAATAAGAAAATCAAAATAGCCAAGAAAGTTGCCATTAACAAAAAGATGTCGGTCCTGTTTGGTAATATAGTTAGCTTATAGCCAATTTTGGCTTATTTGACCACTATTAGCCGTTTGACTTGGCTAAACAATCAATATAAGTGTTTGATTAATTAGTTTTTGGTTACAGCTTATTGCTCCAAAATGCTAAAATTCAAAGAGATGCTCAAAGCAACTTTTTGAGAAAGTCATTTTGCATGTAATCAGCTATCAGCTAACAACTAATTTACTAAACACTTTTCTAAAATCAGCTAATGCTATCAACTAGTCAAACCCACTAACCCAATCAGCTAACAGCTATTTATCAAACACCCCCGTCATAAAATGGATTTACAGTTTCTGAAGAATAGTCTGGCTCTGGTACTCAAGACACATTGTCCCAAGAAAGTGGATAAGGAAGGAAAGAAAGGGGCCAAACAATTAATTTTCATTGTTCATAGAGGCAATTCAATATTACATTATTACCAATACGCCAAGGTGGAGCTCTAAACTGTTTACCAAAATGAAACCTTTTCCACATTGCATCATGCTGTTTGAGTTTTCAACGTTCAGGCACTAATAAATTTCTCAAGTATGTTGCAAAACACATACATATCACTCTAAGGAAAACTATCTGAACTTTTTAAACGAACAACAGATACGAATTAGAGGCCAGTTTTCTCCTTTCCACATAATTAATATGTCCCAAGAACAATTAGACACAAAAATACAGTGTCAATGTGGCATCAAGAGTCATTAATCCAAAGCTCAAGCTAAAATATAATTTCAAGTTTTGTTATAGCTCAAAATCCAGTTTTGTTTAGAGAATCCCATATCTAAACTATTTACTTCCTTTGCCCTTCCAACAAAAGAGAAGATTAAAACCCTCTTGTGTATATTGGCAATCACATTCAACATAATTGACTTCAACTAAATGGCACTTTCTACACTTTAACTCTGAAATTGATAAACATCTGATTACCCAAAATACATTAAACACTTAAATTCTATACATTCTTTAGCATTTTCAAGCAATTTTCCTGGAACAAAATGGAACAATTTCAAGAACACACTTCTCCTCCCGAGTTCAAATGGCAATTTTTCTGCGTGAACTGATATTACCCCCTGATATTTACCATCAGATAAAGTGAATTGATTTTTAAAAAATGAATAAATGATATAAAGATTGAATCTTTGGGAATTTCTTTTGTACCTTTGATGATCTGAATAGGGAATGGAGCGGAGAAGACAAATCTCTTGGCGCCTCTTCTCTCTTCTCTCCCTTGCTCTTTCTTTCTTATTCATAATTTCTCCTCTTCAGCTTTTGTGAGCTTTTACAACAGTTTTCGTTTTCTTTATCCGCTGGTTAAGTTTTGGTTTTTGACGAAGAGAATGGAGGACTGTGTGTCTGTAATAGTGAGTCGAAGTCCTCCCTGGCTTTTAAATAACTAAGTAGGTGCACCAGTACGATGAGCGGCTATATATATAGTATGATATATATACACTTATACAATATAGAATATAGTTATTTGAACCTGTAAAAATGTGAAATGAAAAGTTGTGATTTTATTATACATTGATAAATATAGTAGTTTTATTATACATTAAGGGACACTACCTATATAGTACATAGAATATTACGTATAATATAATAAGAATAAGAAACATAATAGGAAACGTATTATTTTGCACAAATACTAAATTTTAAATAATAAATTCTTGAATGTTATTATACATTATTGAAGACTTCTTTGTACACAACATTTTTAGTTATACTAAGACATGGTACACTTTCCCCGCAAATCAAAATTTTCAAACCCCTGGGGTTACTAACTCTTGAAATAGCTACGTATAGTTGTCCATGGTTAAATACCGGTTTTTCAACAACAACCCAACTTTAGCAAGCGTTTGTCCTTGACTTTTGTTGATTGTCATGGCATAAGATAGCATCAAAGGAAATTGCTTTCGTTGAAATTTGAAAGGCAATCTTGGATCTGACGGTGTAAGTGACATCCTAGGAATCAATACTTTGGTTCCTACATTTGTACCGCACATGATTTTGCCTTCCAACACATGGTCAACCAACCTTGTAACAATCAACCTTGTACCGTTGCATAATCCTAATGTGTGATCAATATTTCGCAATAGCATAACAGGTGATCCAACTTTCAATGTCAATGCATGATTTGGTACTCCAGAACATCTCAAGGCATTCAAGAATTCGGGAGTGTGCAAATCCGCTAACATGTCAACATTGGCATCTGACTTACACACAGAATCACAACTCAAGTATGTCTTACCCTCAGAAGGATTATGATCATTCATGTATTGGTTAACGGCATCTACCACATCCAATGTTAGAGCTAAAATTGCACTATGATTAAGATATGACAAATCGGCAATTTCCAGTCAGAAATTGGCTATCAACAATTGTAGCAATAGGGTCATCTTCGCACTTCAACAACAAATCTTCAGGAACAGTAATCTCTGACTCCCCCTCAAGTTGACACCCAATAATTCCATCACCTATATTAGCTATCCATTTTGCAAATTCCTCGATCTCCTTGCACTCGGTTTCTGATTGAACACTCTTCAAACGTAGATTTTTAGTCAGCCTTAGGACTTTACAGGATTTCCATAGATAGGATGAGCTAATGCTCGCTCTAACTATATCCGGTCTAGTACCCTTTGGAATGACTGGTAAAATTTGCCTGAAATCGCCCCCCAAAACAACTGTCTTACCACCGAATGTCATATTAGAACTCATTGGATTTATGAAGCGCATCAAATCCCGCATAGTTCGATCCAGGGCTTCAAAGCAGAATTTATGCATCATGGGGGCTTCGTCCCATATTATCAACTTTGTTTGCACAAGAAGTTCCGCCAGTTCACTGCCGGTACGTATGTTGCATGTGGAATCTTCATTAACAGAAATCGGAATTGCAAACCGAGAATGTGCCGTCCTGCCACCGGGCAATAAAAGCGAAGCTATGCCGCTAGAAGCTACATTGAACACTATTTGACTCTTAGACCTTAATGCGGAAGAAAGTGCTCGCCACAAGAAAGTCTTACCTGTCCTTCCATAACCATAAACGAAGAATAACACCCCTTCCTGGCGATCCACGTCAGTTAAAACTTCATTGTATATTGCCTTTTGTTCGTCTGTTAACTGCCTTACCAATTCTTGATTCTCTTTCTCCTGTTCGGCACAATCGTATGCTAATTCTTCTTGAATAAATCTGTTTGCAATAACATTTAAGGCACCAAAATTTGCAGTTGGCATCTCAGGATAGTCCTTCAAACTCTTACCATGATTAGATAATAGCTTCTCAATCTCTACTAAAGCAAAGTTCATTTTGTGCGAATCGGTCAACACAAAATCTGCATAAATATATATAAAAATTTAATGTTATAACATAAGTACGTTAAACTTGACTTAATATTTAAAAAAAAAAAATGTACGATTACCTTTGTTCTGCAGTTGTCTACGGACGTTGAATTGTGCATCGTCTGATAGATGTTGCCAAACGGCATGCCAAACTATTTCTGGTTTCCCCATGCAACTGCTCATTAGCAATATCACAAACAATCTCCTCAATTGATCTGCTGACGCCCAATGACTGGCTTCATCTATTGCATCAACATATTCGTTGTCATCATCAACTAAACCCCTTGCATAACACGCATCTCGGAATGAGTCATATTGCACCCCATTGACAGTCCTAATATCTTCATAACTTTTCGGGCCGCGGACTTTGTTCAGCAAACACCTCAAATAGAAAATTTCACCAGTAGCTGGCGGGACATAGAATATACGTCCTATTGAGAACCCTTTCTTTCGTGGCTGCCATTTTCTAAGGTCTTTCTTCCAAACGAATCTTGTTGGCATCTCAACATAAGTAAGCTCTCTCGCATCGGAGTATGTTTTATTAGCTTCGAACCATTCTAAAAACATGCTCTGTGCTATCGTAGGTCTATTCACAATGTTCTCAACAGCATCATCATCTGCAAATATCACACTCTGTTGATTAGGAAGGTGAAAGCTTAACCTTTCCACCGAAGGCGCCCGAAGTTGTATATCAAAACCAAACAGACGCCAGACCGCTTCACACGGGGATATGTACCTACAGTCATAGTACATGTTTATCTCATCTATTGCTTTGCCATTCTCGTCATCATTGCCTGTTTTGTAAAACTCGGCGGTTACCCGATCATGACCCTTGTTAACATACTTGAAGAGGTACTTGATTGACCGTGACTGGTTGCACCACTCGACATTTATATGAGCCTTGTACTTGAGCAATAAATATCTATTGTGCGGTACCACATACCTGTTGTCCAAGGCGATACCGTTCTTTGTAACTACACTGCCATTGTCTCTCCTTCTATATACCGGGTAACCATCGTCATCAAATGTAGAACTATCAACAAATCTCTTAGGAAAATGTTTAGAGCATCGCCCATTTACCATACATGGAGAATTGGTCCTCGCTTTTCCACATGGACCATGCATCATAAATTCCTCTACCGCTTGGTAATACTCTGCATCTTTCTTTTCATCTGGAATCTCTGCGCAAATAATGTTGTCTAGAGTAAGAACTTGCCTAATTTCTTTACTTTTCTCCAAAAAAAGTAATATATGAGCATGAGGAAGACCTCGCTTTTGAAACTCAATTGTATATATGACTGCAACAACATAGACATAAACATCATAAGATTAAGTAATTACATAAAATTGTATCAAAATTGATTTAAAATGAAAGGACAAAATATTACCTCCAGCCACAGAGCCAAATATTTTATTCTTTCGACAATCGGCTATCGAAGCATCCAACTTAATCTTGAATAACCGGCAAATTATGTCCGGCCGATCTTCTGGCTTCAACCTTTGGTCTTTTAAAAAGTGTTGCACCTCAGGCCACTTCGGATTGCATGTAAAGGTTATAAATAAATCTGGGTATCCAATCCATCTACATATTGCCATTGCATCTTGGTAGTTTTGTATCATGTATCTAGCACCACCCGTAAAACTTGAAGGTAGTATTATTCTGCGACCTTGGGCTGCAGGGCTTAATTCACCCCTTGTCAAAGCATCAGTCAATCCACTATAACTCTCACACCTTAGGCTTTTTTGGTGTGTCCTTATATAAATCAGTCTTCCAGACTCAACCATTGTGTAGCCATCTACAACAAATTGTTGGAACAACCGCTTTGCAAATAATATGGTACTCGGAGCTGACGGTCTAGACTGTATGCGGTAGCAGAAAAACTCCCTGGGACTAATCCTCTGTCTACCACCTGAGGAGCGCTTGCCTAACACGTCAGCGAATGAAATGTCTTCTCGGTAACCGTCTTCGCCATATGGAAACAAAATAGGGTATTGCAGCGGCAAGTATGAAGGATTTAATTCACTGATCCTCTGTAGGTGGCCGCCCTTCGATTGAACAATAATATCACGCTCTTCAATACTGGTATCCAGATCTCCCACAATTAACGCTGCTACTTCTGAAACTTGCGGCAGATTATAGGTCCTCGCATCTCTATTTCGTTTTCCCAACAACTTTATTTTGACCTCGGCGCATGGATTAATATCCAACTCAGACATAGCCATCCGAAAAGACTTAACCAAAACATTATTTTCATCGAGGTCTTTCTGAATGACACTCACTATTTCTACATGAATGTCATCTTGCTCACCACTAGCCCTACAACAACAAAAACTTGATGTATATAGTTGTCAAGATAAAAAATAGTATCTAATGATTAGTATTAATACGCAAACTTTTGTACCTCACAGCATTGATACGGTTGATCTTTTCATTTGCCGTGTCGTATATATATAACTGGGCAAAATGAGGTTCTTTGCCTTGTTCTGGAAGTAGAGTGCCCATTAGGTGATAGTTTTGACCACTTAATCGAAAAATTGGAGGTGCTCCCCCCTTGTTCATGCTCTTGTCAATTTTACCTCCCATGGATGTGAAGCAGAACATGTTGTTGTAGGTCCTAATGTTGTGTAGAAATTCTTTTGATAATTCGTCATTGTCGAAAAAGAGATCAAATATACCTTTTGGTGGCAACTTATTCTCCGGCAACTTGATCTTCCCATTGTTGCAACACAACATAAACAGTGGAGATGCTTTTGTTGACAAATTCTTTTTCCTTTCTTCAAACCAAAAGAAAGCCCCACAATGGACGCATTTATTTGTTGCATCACCAAAATCGCAGTATTGACCTGAAACAAAATATATACTTAATGAAATATTGATTGATATTTTAAGGAATTATAAAACAAATCTACATACCATGTTGTGGATCAGACGATGTCCCCATATCGAAGTTTTGCCTATCATCGTTTCTCAATATATTTGCATCTAAAATTAGAAATACATTTAAAAATCAATTTTAATAGTTTAAGGTTTGCATATGTACTTTACTTATAGTTGTTTGAATAACCGCTAGAGTATCTTCTTACCAACTATGTACGTATTTGGTGCGTCGATCATTGTAGGGTTACATTCACCTTCAAAGGCAGATAGCAAGTCTCTTGTTGTTACATGGTCATCGGGAATTCCATATTTATGTAATGGTTTACGATTTGCCAATTCATCTTGTGTTATCGTCGATGCAGGATTTTCTTTATCTACCAAAACAAATGGCTGGCAATTGGTTGCACCGATCTGTGTATTCGACGAACGTACTGTACACGTACGGAATATTAGACACGGGTAAAGTATAACAACGTTTAAAGTCACGTTTAATTTAAACCACTACATTTTAGTGGACTATAAAAAAAAATAGTTGGTAGCACATAATAACAAAATAAATTATAGAAGTCTTAATATTATAAATTAAGTACACCTAAAGTGTACATTATGCTAGCCTAGAAAATGAAAAATTAATTTGACGGTATAAGTATTCTATTTTAGTGGAAAACTTATTAGATAGTGTTAGGAATAAATTGTAATAGATTTTGATAAGCCATATTGTTATTCGTAGATCCCCAATTTTATTTTATTAGACTAAGTCGAGTCTTAGACCAAGAAAGGGAAAAATAAATTCATTAGTTGAGGAAATGGATGAAGAAGATATCAAGCCAAAAATCAAGAATTTGTCAAGAGAAAATGGCAAACAGAAGAGGAAGATGTATGCGTATGAAATTTGAGAAAATCCCTCAAAAATCCCGAAGAAGATAGAACGTGACTAGAAGTTTGCATGAAGCTATCTTGAAGATCAAGCATCTATGGAAAGAAAGGAGTACACCAAGTGAAACTAGAAAATGACTAAAAGGCTGTACGGACGAGATGGTAGAAGCTTGAAATATTATGTGCAAGGTCACAAGTTCAAATCTCACATCTCACATATTTTAAAGAAGCCAAGTTAAAATTCCATCTGATCAAGTAAGAGGCAAGTCAATGGGATGAGATTTCCAATTTGACTATGGGATGAGATATTTGCAAAGTCAAAGGGAATGAGATTTCCAAATTGACTAAGGGATGAAGTTTACAAGTGAAGGGATGCAATTTCATCAGGAGAATTGGTACAGGGAAATCAATATTGAAGGGATGAGATTTACAAGGCTTCAATTCAATTGGAGATATAGATTGCAAGGGATGAGATTGCAATTCCAAATCAAGTAAGGGATGAGACAAATCTAGCAAGGGATAGAGATTTCATTTCCCAAAATAGAAAGGGATGAAGTTTCACAAGGGAAGAGATTTCCAAGTCAATTGAAGAGATGAAGTCTGAAAGCAGTATACAGACCCAGATACACGAAATACACGAAAAACAGAAGTTGCAGGAGCAAAAATACTAGTCTAACTAGTAAGGGATTATATTGGAGATTATATTTTGAAGATTGGCGTGATCTGCACCAGATGGAGATTCATGGGACGCCATTTTTGCTGAAACCTCAAGCTCAATTTGAAATATCTGACAAGATCTGCAACGTTATCTTATCTTCTGACAAAAGGCTATACAGCTAAGCAAAATTCGAAAATGAGACCGTTTCTTTCCAACGGACGGATTCTCATTACCAGCTATAAAAGGATGAAGATTGAAGCTTTGGAAACAAGAAGCAAGAACGCAATAGAGCAAGAATACAGAGCTAAACAGAGCATACAAAATTCAAAGAAAGCTTTCCATCTCAGGAGCTTAAATTGATATATCTTTTGTGTGATAAACACTCAGAGTGATACAGATCTTAGAAAAGAAATATCCAAGAGTGTTGAAATCTTCATCAACTTCAAGAGATTAAGCGCATCAACGAAGATCATCTACAGAATCTCAAAGTTGGAAGCAAGGCAAAACTTGTTTTGGAGCAAAACAAGGGAAAGGAGGAAAGTAACACGGAGTTGTGAAATCCTGGATTGTCACACGGAGCTGTGAGATCCGAAGCAGCAGTGTCGGGAAGACATTGGGCGTGATTGGTGTGGGCTTGGTGATCAAAGAACCAGATCACGGAAGATACGTTTCTACCGGATCGTAGAAGACGGGGGGAAAGTAGCACGGAGTTGTGAAATCCTGGGAAAGTAACGCGGCGACGTGAAACCCGAAGCAGCAGTGTCGGAGGCACTGGGCGTGATTAGTGTGGGCTTGGTGATCAAAGCACTAGATCACGGAATTCATTGTATCTTGGAACCAAAAAGTGGTGGATATAGTGAATTAGCTCTTGGAGAAAAGAGCAAGTGGAGTAGGAGGATTACATCACCTCGCGAACCACTATAAATTGCCTTGTGTTCTTTACTGCTTTCTTTACTTACTGCTCTTGCTTGCTTCTCACGTCAATAATCTTGACACGATCTACACACACACCGTATCTTTTATTTAATTCCGCTGTGCACCTGACTCTAACAATCTAGTTAAGAGTCTTGGTTTATCTCTGGCTTACCTTTTGTTATATTGTGCGAAAAAGTTTGAAAGTCTATTCACCCCCCCCCCCCCTCTAGACTTTCACCTTACCTCTTTTGGGACCAACAGATAGACCATGGTCCACAAAAATCTGTGCACCATAAATAGAATTAGAATGAAAAAGTATATTTCACTAAGTACAAACCAACAAATTGATTACACATAATAAAAGAAATTTAACTATTTTAAAGAAAAATTAGAAATTGATATTAAAAAGTAAATCATATGAAGACAAATTAGTGAAATTACAATTACACACCGAGTTCTATGGACCATGAGTTACATTATAATTAAATTCACAATGAATGTATATCAATTAATCTTAGGGGATTTACCGTTGGTGATGTTACTCAATGGTGTGATATTTTCAGACAAACATCCTCCAAGGGGAATTGAGTAAGGAGTAGTTGTCGTACGTTTGTCTTTAGCTTGGGCAGCATTATTCGTAAAAGATGAGTTGCCGCAATAATTTGCTGTGATATAAAATATAACATTAAATTAAGAAATAATTCCAATAATTTATACTCGAAACAAATTAGTAGACATAACATAAATATTTGTTCAATTGCACGACATTAATATGTAATCGAATAGAATTAGGTAGACCATGGTCCGCATATATTTGTGCAAACTAAATAGAGTTAGAATGTAAAAGTATATATCGTTAAGTACAATCTAATTAATTAATTACACATAACCAAAAAAATGTAACTATTGTAAAGAACAATTACAAATTTATATTATTCAACATAAATTACATTTAAAATATAACATTTAATTTTACAAACATCTTTTAACAATTAAAACTATAAGGATATTTAAATTCACAATGAATGTATATCAATTCATTCTCGGGGATTTACCGTTACTGATGTTACTGAATGGTGTGGTATCTTGCGACGGACAACCGCCCCCCGGCATTTGGTTACGAATATTTGGCGTATGTTGGTCTTTACCTTGACCAGCATTAGTCATTAATGATGAGTTGCCTACATAATTTGCTGTGATGTAAAAAAAAATTAGAATACTATAATAACAACAGTAATAACAACAGTAATTATAGCAGTTAAAATTATATAAATTAATCACACCTAACGCTATTAATTATGTTAGACTATAAGTTGAAATTGTAATTGCTATCAATAAGAGTTACCTAATAAGTGGAACAATTATTAGGTAGACCATGGTCCACATAATTTAGTGCACAATAAATACCATTAATACCAATCAAAGTATTATTGTGATACTAAAGTATTCCATGTACATTGGTATGGTACATTACTTACATTATAATTATACAATATAATTTTACAGTCAATTTGTGCACCTAATTAAAAAGATAATTTTTTTTTTTATTTTTAAAAAATGAAGGTATATGAATTCAACTAAGGGCATTTGCCGTTAGTAATGTTACTCAATGGTGTGATGTTTTGAGACAAACACCCTCCCAAAGGAATGCGAGAAGAATTTATTGCCGAAGGCTGTTGTTTTCCATGAGCAGAATTATTTCTTGTTGATGAGTTGCCTAATTCATTTTCTGTAATATAAAATCTAACATTAAAATAAAAATTATTTCAAATAAAAAAAATCGTAAAAATGAATTACACATAACATAGTTCAGAGCACACCAATAATTTATAATTGTTAAAGATTTGCGTAACACTTCTGACGAAAGTAGTTGTTGTGACACTAAACACACCTAACGGATAATATATTTATGGTAGCCTATAACCTGAAACTGCAATTGATATAAACAATAACCTGCCGCAAGTATACTGGACAAATTTGTAGGTATAACATGGTCCACAAAATTGTGTGCACAATCGATATCATTACCATGAAAAATAATGTATCTAATTAATTACACATAACAATCACACCATTAAATAATATGAAGACTATATATATATATTTATTAATTTATATCTATAAACTATTTAAATCTATTTATGTATTTATATAACAATATATATATATATATATATATATATATATATATATATATATATATATATATATATATAGAAAATTGGTTTGAGCAAACGTTATATATACAAATAATATATATATATATATATATATATATATATATATATATATTAATATATAATATTACGGAGTATATGTTTGTTCGGTCGGAATATTATGAGAAGACGAAGAAGGGTGAATACCATTCTCCTTCTCCTTTGTCCGAACAGATCTGTTTTTCACCCTCTCACCGCTCACTTCCGATCTCTCTCTGTCTCTCCTAAACCTAGATTAGTGCTTAGTGGAAATCTGGGTTTCAACTGTTCTTACTGAACATTGTTTCCGGAGAAATCTTAGACTGGTCTAGATGAGCATCTCCCCGATTCTCAGTACATAATCGCGATCTTTCATTTCCGTGAAAGATCGTAGTGTTCAACAACAGTAAATGGTGGAAATCACGCTGCAGTGAAGCTAATTTCGTACTACTAAGGTTAGTGTGCATTTAATTTCCAATCAATTTGATTAGGGTTCGGATTTATCACTGTTGTTTGTTCTAAACTTGATCTAATTTACTGGATCTAAGCATGCATGTCGAGAATCATAGATAAAAGCTCTCAATTGTGTGTTTGTATGATTCATAAAAATTAGGGTTTTAGGTCGTCTTCTTTGTAGTGTTGCTATAAAAACACAATTGAAATTACTGTTAACTGTGTAAATATCATGTTCAAAATGCTATAGCTATATTCTGGTACAAACAAATCCTAACCAATAAGTCTACTTTATCATGTTGTTTTTCATGGACATACTGGAATTATTTGAGGAGATGGAGAAGACCAACAGAATCGCACGGCAAGAGGGATGCTACAATGAAGCTTCATTTCAAAAACAAAAAGATAAGTTTCGAACTTACCTTTATTTTCTTCACTTGGTTTCCTTTTGATGCCTATAATTGTTGACTTAGTGATTTTCCTCATTGCATGTCTATTGTGTGTACTTGAAAATGTCTCTGTGAATTGTCTATTTGGCTGGAGTCTGAAACTGGAGAACTGTGTTGGTAGTTAGATGTGGCATCTTTCTTTAGATGTGTTGATTGTAGTTTACTTAACTTTTTGCCTTGATTTCGAAAAAAGGATTGGAACTGAAGAGTTTTCTGTTAATATTAATGATAGATGTCCATCAATTATATTTAATGTTTAGGGAATGTGTTTCTTTTCCTAAGAATGATTAACTTTTACTCAACAGGCCAATAATTCCATTGTCTTAAATTTCTTTATATAATTGGTCAGAACATGGAACACACAGATTGATTCTTTGGTTCTAAAACTCTTCAAGATTCTCTGTTATGCCAGTCTATCAAATTTTTTTCCTAATGAAATGACATTCTCAGTTTTTTAGTGAACACAGTAATGTTCATTACATTTAAAATCTTGGATTTAGGTGGTGTGATCTACTTTCTTTCTAAATGTGCTAGCAAATTTCTTCTATTATTTATTCTGAACACATGATCATTCTAACTTTTTTATTTGTTTTTTTATTCGTTTTAGAAGAAAATTATCCAAGCTGTGGATTAATTGAAGAGCAGCAAGCAGAAAATAAGCACTATGTCCATATCAGCAATCAGGTTAAGACTCTATCTTGATTTACCTTACTTTAGATGACTTTGTATTGTTATACTTGCATAGTTTGTAAGTTTGTTCACTTTAGTTTGTAAGGCAATATACAGTTTGATTTAAAAAGACTTTTTTCAACAAATGGTCATCAAGTATAGACCAAGTTCTTATTTTTTTAAATTCTTTTTTGACAATTTGTTTAGGGAGGTTGTAACAACATTGAACACATACATTTATTATTTGATTCTAATCATATTCAATTCTCTGTTATTTTACTTTATCCTTTTCCTGTTATTAAATATTATGAACACAACTTCTAACCAATTTTTTTGTTGTTGTTATTCTTATTAGAATGAAAGAATTCAAGCTTTGAAGAAATTGAAGAGCAGCCGGCAGAAAAAAACCAATCAATAAAAGACCACTAAAAGCAATATGGTCATATAAGCAAATAGGTTAAGACTTCCTCTTTACTTGGCTGTATTTAGATTAGTTTGTATGCATATACTTGCACCGTTTGTAAGTTTGTTCACTTAACTTTCTAAGGCAATAGTTTTCCATTACTGGCTTTCACTTTGGTGCATTGTTTGGTTCTATATAAGTATAGAACTCACTAATGTTAACACAGTAATGTTAATAACTTTTTATTTTTCTCTTTGGTCAAAACTGGTATAATTATTTTGTATATATCGTAATATTCGTTAAATGTGTTTTATTGCAAGCAACAACTTTGTTTTTTTAATATTAGACACATTCAGTAAAATGTCCTTGTTTAAGAAATGGTGCTCGACTATCGACCAACTTCATATATTTTTTTCTAGTGTCTTTGATATCTTGACTTTGGTGCATTATTTTATTCTATATAAGTATAGAAGTGCTATTTGAGTAGGATCATACTTTTCTGTTTTTTTTTTTTTTATTTATTTAAGGAGATTCTCAGTTTTTTTATTAAAACAGAAATTTAAATTACTTTTTTTTTCTCTTAGCTTAAAAGTGGTATAATGTTCTTCTATGTATCATAATATTCTTTAAATATTTTTTATTGGAAGAAACAACTTTGTTTTATTAATAATAGACACATTGAATAAAATGTCTTTGTTCAACAAATGGTCCTCGAGTATCGACACTGTTAATCTATTTGTAATTCTATTCTATTTGACACCTGGAATTTGTTCAATTGTTTTATTCTATATCAGTATAAAAGTCAGATTTGTGTAGGATCAAAACATTTTTCCGTTTAAAGGAGATTGTTGGTTTTGTAGTTAACACAGTAATGTAAATGACTTTACAAAAATCTTCTTTTTGTTGCTGTTATCTAATTTCTTTTTAAATGTGCTAGAAAACTTTGATGGATACCACCTTGGACATCAGGTGCTTTGGAGAGATGCAAACTGAGTAAAAGAAGATTGTGCAAAAAGGTAATTGGAACTAACTCTATTTTTTAGGCAGAATATATTTATTTAGATATAAAGTCTTAGAATTGCAAACTGAGTAAAAGAAGATTGTGCAAATAGGTAATTGGAACTAACTCTATTTTTTAGGAAGAATATATTTATTTAGATATAAAGTCTTAGAATTGCAAGCAGAGTAGAAGAAGATTGTGCAAATAGGTAATTGGAACTAACTCAATTTTTTAGGCACAATATATTTAGATATAAAGTCTTAGAATTGGAATATTACTTACAAACTCTAACATGTAATTGAACATATAAAAAAACACAACTACAAAGTCTAAGTTGCTTGCCAAAATATTTCCATCCTGTCTGCCTTCTAAAACCTTGGCCACATGGAATCCTTGCTAAACTTGGACACCTTTCATCCTTACTCTTAATAACCTGAAAGGAAAAGTAGAAAAACTGCAAAACAGGTTCTAATAGCAGTATATACACCAATGCATTATACTAAACAGTTAGGCAATAACTAAAAACATTAGATAATACTTCTAAAACATCCGAAAAACTGAAAATAAGAAAGTTTCACATCACAGTCTTAGGAAAATAAAAAAAAATTGTCTGGATAATGTCCGGCCAACAACAAACACTTTCAACCATCAATGTCAATTACAACTTTTCCTGTTTGATTTCTGAGTCATTCAACTTCTTCCTACTTTTGGATGATGAAAACTCATCCAAAAGTGACCTTTTAATAGCCCCAGAGTTTTCAGCATTGTCTTCTCCTTCCTTTTGCGAGGTCTGGACAGTGGCAGGGCTATTCACTTCAACTCCAATAGAATCTTCCTATTAGTAAGTAAAGCAGAAAAGCCTATTAGTAACCAATAAAAAAAAACTCATAGACTTTAGGGTTTATAATTCTTACTCCAGAAACTGCATCGGTGTTAGTTTCCTCCTCAATCATCCTTAACATTAAGTCTTGCTCTTCATGCTCCACAAACCTGTCAGCATAGGTCTTAAGCAAGTGCTCATCCCTTACAACCCTAACAACATTGAATGGGTAATTGGGGCCCATCTTTTGAGCCAGTTTGAAGTTGATCTTAAACAGCATCTTCATTCCAACTATAGCATCCAATTCAGGTGGCACTTCAACATCAAGCTGTTTACATAGGTGATAAATAACAAAATTAAAAACATATAACATAAACAGTTTAGGAAAAAAAATGTAGACATTAAATTATAAGAATTTACCTCCTTGTATTTTGCATACAAAATAGAGGCAGGAATACCCACAAGCTCTGTAACTTCCCTATCCCAAAGCAACATTGGAGCATCTCCAGATTTGTCAAGAGCAATAACAACTACTTTGTACCTAGCTGTACCCATCATACAAGTCTTTTTACACTTAGTACAAAAAAGAGTCCCTTCCTGTTCTTTAAGCTTCTTATTACATCCAAGTTTCAGGCACGATAGGTAGTACCAACCATCCTCAAAATCTAACCCAAGAATCTCAGCAGCAACATAGTAGTCCCCATCCTATAGTATACAAATAATTTTGTAAGTGTATATTGCACTTACCAAATACAGTTACATCAAATAAAAGAAAGAATTGCTAGCTTAGTTTGTGGATTACCTCTTTCACCTTCTTAATATCATGGCAGTTAGTGACAATAACAACAGCATTATTAAAATCACTAATGCCTGTAGAGTTGGAATGCAGTGTGCCAGTACTGAGACTCCTCATTGGAGTACCCTGAGCTTTCATGCTTCAAAAACATTAGAAACTTGGTTAGATGTGTCTAAAACACCCTACAACAATACAGTAGACAACATTTAAAATATCTATCTTATTTTTTGATTGGTAGTTGAGTAAAGTTGAAGAAATGAATACACTGTACATCATGGTATTTCAATATATATACACAGTACAGTGTATTTTTTTTTAATCCAGTATTCAGATGTTAAAAAAAATATATGGCATAACTAAAATCAGAAGTACAAAGTAGAGCACACATTAATAAAGATACAAAAAAATAGGATAAATCTAAAAGATGAACTTACTTTGACTTAAACTCTTTAAACTCTTCCCAATCATCATTAAACCACAGCTTCGTCGCATCATAGGAACTGGTTATTCTCACTTCACCTGAAATAAAAATATTGAATAGATGCATGTATTTTAAGATATATAGTATGATATATATATATATATATATATACAGTATAGAATATAGAGTATTTGAACCTATAGATTAGAAGAGAAAACAGTATAGAAACTCACCACCCACAACTTTGGCCCTACAGCATTGAATGACAACAATCAGTGGTTCTTTCAAATCACTATTGTAAAAAGGCATCAGGTAAGAAACATGCTCATTCCAGAGTGTACACATCATGGTGTTATCACTGGGTTAGAAACAGAAAAAAACACAAAAGTATGAAAAAAAAAGAGCAAAATTTTCGAATGTAATCAATTTTATTTTAAAAAACATACGCATTGTCTTCAATTTGAAAGTCGATTAGTTTGGTGGCCTTCCCCCCTACAATCTTGTCCACAGGATTGTAAATCTCAATTACCCTTCCAATAACATCTGCAAAATGAACAAAATATTAGCAAGAACTACTAAAAGTAGAATAAAGAACATATTAGCAGTTAGGAAAGTTAATTTAGTACAAATCAGCTCCTTGTCATTCACATCATCAGGATCTTTCAAAGCCAAAAAACTCTTTAATCTAAACATTTTGCAAGGAAAGCCATTAGAATGTATTTCCTTCACTTGTGTTTTGTAGTTAAATTTGAGCATGAAACCATGCTCTGTAATCTTGTAGACATAGTAGTTTGTAGAGGCCATGAAGTTCTTGATTTCAAAAACTTTCCCTTCCTTGATTGTATCTCTATACTTTAAAATGTCTTTCTTGATGATACTCGCATGAATGTAGTCTCCCTGCGAATACAATAGGAAAAAAATTATAGATAGCAAAACACACTAAGATGAGTAGATAACATGGCATGAAAGTATCTTAATTGAAAGACCATTAGATGAGAAGATTATAGACAGCAAAACACACTAAGATTATTAGATAACATGGCATGATTAGTAGACAAAACCAGATTGGCAAATAGATAAAATTACCTCTTCATCATGGAACAAAACTTCCATGCTCTTACTGACTTGCCACTCTCCCCTTTTCTCAGGAACTTCATACACACGAACTGCTCTAACTCGTATTGCCCTTTGCTGGTGTTCCGGCTTAATGTTTCTGACAGCAATGAACATGGAAGGCATGTTGAAACACCAAAAGTGGCTTTCGAAAAGGCTGTAAAGTGTAAGAATTTTCTGAAGTGTTCTGCCATGAAGAAGCCCGGTATTTATACATACTGGATATTCAAAAAAAAAAAAAAAAAGATACCGGCATTCTATGTTTGGGAAATCGCACATCTCAATTAATGTGAATTTGAATATTCACTATAAGAAAAATGCACATAGACAACATTAGAAAGACAACAGTTTTTAAGAAAAGTGTTGTCTTTTGTATAAAAGACAACAGTTTAGTCCAAAACTATTGTCTTTGATGCAACACTTTTGTCAAAGACAACGGTTTTTACTTAACCGTTGTTATAAGTGTGTTGTCTTTGTGTATTTTGTGAAAAGACAACACCACAACGACAACGGTTTTTTAAAACCGTTGTCTATGTGCGTTTTTTTTTAAATAAGACAACGGTTTTTTTAACTGTTGTCGTTGGTGTGTTGTCTTTAAGCGCAATGGAATACACAACACTAGATAGACAACGGTTGTAAACAACCGTTGTCTTTGTGTGCTCTTTTTTTAAAAAAAGACAACGGTTTTATTTAACCGTTGTCGTTGGTGTGTTGTCGTTAAGCGCACTCGAATACACAACACTATAACGACAACGGTTTTATATAACCGTTGTCGTTGCGTGTTCTTTATTTGTTTAAGACAACGGTTTTATTTAACCGTTGTCTTTGGTATGTTGTCTTTAAGCGTATTTAAATACACAACACTACAAAGACAACGATTTTAAAAATTCTGTTGTCTTTGCGCATTATTATTTAACAGGTATATAAAATAAAAACTAGGATGTTAACAACAAGAGTCGAACCTATGACCTCAAACTTAACAAGCAAGCAGTCTAACCAACTAAGCAACAACAACTCTTATTTCTAAAGGTGCAACATCTGGTATATAACTGGGTTCCTTCTGTTTTGTTTGTGAAAACCAAAACAACAATTTTAGAAAATAGTTGAAGAATTCCCCCCAAAAAGAATAAAACTTGAGACCTCTAACATAGTAAACTAAACTAAATCCACCAAGACACACCAACACTTGTGTACTTGAGTGCAACATCTAGTATATTACCAGTTTGTTTATGTGTTGTCTTTAAGAACCAAGACAATGATTGTATAAAATAGGTTAAGAATACCACCACGAAGGATAGAACCCAAGACCTTTAACATAACATAACAAACAAAACTAAATCCACCAAGCCACACCAACTCTTATGTATTAAAGTGTTACACCTTATCTTTTACCTATAATTTAACAAAGAAAGAATACAATTCAAAAGTTAATTTAATAGTTCTATTTTCGTTCATATTTAAATATATAAAATTATTCACCAAAATTTCAAAATAATTCATTATTAAAGTTTTATTTTTAATTATATTACAATTAAGACCAATCTAGGAATTAAAAAACAATAATAATTATCAAGTATAAAAAACAATAATGGTGCGGTATGATGTGTAGGGTTACGGGCGGTATGATAGGGGCCGAGGTTGGTAATCGACTCTTCTGGCTAGCGCATGACTAACAAGGTTAGCTATATGTTGGTAATCGACCCTTCCGGCTAGTGACTGTCAATGTTAGCTATATGTTGGTAATCGACCCTTCCGACTAGCGCATGACTAACATGGTTAGCTATGTTGGTAATCGACCCTTCCGGCTAGCGCATGACTAACAAGGTTAGCTATATGTTGGTAATCGACCCTTCCGGCATGCCTGGGACACATTGAGAATGAATATGAAAGAGTAGTTGATCGATGCTGTACAGTTAGCTATATCCCATTTCTTTTGCCGCGATCTTAATTAGCTTTATGTTCATAAATACCAAACTATATATTCATAATTTTTGAATTGAAATGCATATTTCCAATTGTTGATAACTATACAGTTTAGAAATTATCAATCAACAATACAGAAATTATGAATCTGCAGTATAGAAATTATGAATTTACTGTATAGAAATTATTAATCTATACAACTGTATTTAAATTAGAAATATACTATATAGAAATTATTATGAATCTAACTACATTATAGAAATCTATGAATCTCGTGTTTTGTACCTATATACCCGGAACTATTTTAATTAACCGGATGTAGCGACCCAAGTAATTAATTAAACTAAAATTTTGTTACAAAATTTCCCTCTAAGCTAAGATAAAATTTCCCTCTAAGACAAAATTTCCCTCTAAAACAAAATTGGGAATGAAATTTTTGTCTTTCCCTCTAAGACAAAAATTCGCACAACAACTCCGCCGACCGCCACTCTCCGATCAGACAACAACTCGCACAGACAAAATTTCCCTCTCATATCAGACAACAACTCGTTCAGATACAACTCCATCAAACTCCGCCGACCGCCACTCTCCGCAGTCGCCGTCGCTGAGCCTGGGTGGAAGTCGACAATAGAGAAGCTCTCCACAGTCGCCGTCGCTGAGCCTGGGTGGAAGTCGACAACAGAGAAGCTCTCCGCAGTCGCCGTCGCTGAGTCCACGTCGCCGTCGACAACACAGAAGCCCTCCGCGGTCAGCTGCGCCGCCGTCTCCCGTCAGCGTCGCTCTCAACCTACACCTCTTCCCTCCTCTACCGCCATCTCCTCCTCCCTACTCTTCCACCGTTGGATTCCCCATCACAAACCTACAGGTTAGTCCTAAACCCTAGATTAATTGTTGGATTATTAGGTTGTGAATTTTCTTACTCCCTAAATTAATTGTATTACCTTGAGCTTTGCGTGAGGTAGAAATATTAAAATGTCTTCTTTGAAAGTTTGAATTTGCAGTTTTGAGCTTTCTTTAGTTAAAAGCTTTTAATACAGTGTGTGTGTCTATATTATATATGAATCAGTGGATGGTTCTGTTTGGGTTTCTTTACCTGAAGAAACCTTGAAATATGTGGACTACTCCTGGAAATTTTATAGTGTTGAATTGCTTGAATAGGCTGTAGTTGTTTGGGGTGTTTTATCCATATGAAGGGAGTCAAAGGACACTGATGATGTGAACTTTGTCCTGAGTTTCCCTGTTGTTTCTTATGATACTATGTTGGAGGTCTGTCTATGTCTCTGTGATACACAGTTGTGCATATTTTTCATGTCATCTATCTTCAGAGTGTATCATCCACCATGAATATAAGATTTCAGCTCATCAAGGTTGATGTTCCAAGTTCTGATTCCCCCTGGCTTGGCATTTAGATACTACATGTTTTCTTTTTACCAAAAATCCTTGTCGGTATACAAGTCTATATTGCTAGTATTATGTTGTGTTTGAGTTGTTTACATATCCCAGATTGATAATCAAATTATTGCTTCCTTGTCTCTTCTGTTTTGTACTGACAATAGTTTTTGCAGTAATTTTTCCAACTCCCTCACAACCGAACTTGGCTATGGAGTATTAGATATTATGCAATTTTTAAACCAAAATCCTTGTCTTCTTTATACAACTCTGTATTACCAGGTGTATACAAGTATATATTACTAGGTGTGTTTTGTGTTTCAGTTGTTTGCATATCCTTGATTGATTATCAACTCCTTGCTTGCTTTTTCTATTGGCTATTGCATAATAATTTTTGCAATTACTCATTAACTCTTCACTAGAAACTCTGAGGATCCGTGCTTGATACAGTGACAGTGATGTTGCAATCTTTTGCTTGTTCTTGATCGTTGAATTTTCTTATTCCCTAAATTTTCTACAACACATGGCTTCATAGCCTTGCTGTCCTAGTTATGCTTCCTCAACTGGTTACTTTGTAATCTGCTATGCTCTTTTTAGTCAAACAAACATGTATATTTTGATAATGTGTAAACAAATGAATTAACTCCATGGTTTCTTTAGCAAATTTCCGTGCTGCTGCCCTCTCCATAGCAGCCTTCTGTTTTGCTGCTTCCCTCTCTTTGCGAAGCTCTTCTTTCTGTCTTTTCCTCTCAGCCTGGACTCAATATACAAGAAATATGGTAGCTATCAGCCACTGAATATAGCAGAAGTTTAAGGAGAGAAACTAAAATAAAACCGCCCTCAAACATACCCTCAAAAGCTCTCTCTGCAAAAATTTCTCTCGTGTTTCCATTTCACGCTTTTCCTCACGTTGAAACCTCTCTTCCTTCCTCTGTTGTTCACGCATTAGCCTTTGTTCTTCTTTCCTTCTCTCACGATCCAGTCTTTCCATTTCCTTTTTCACTTGTTCTTCCCTCTTAAGTGAGAAAAGAAAATTGTTTCAGATTTCAAAAGTAAAATTGCAGAAAGTAGTTGCAAAAAAATAATAATAATAATAATAAATAATAAAATAATAATAATAAAATCCAAAGGTTTGAAGGAACATAAAAATATACCTTTCTCCTTAAAAGATCCTGTTTCTCAAGTTCTTTTCGAATCCTTTTTTCATGAGCTAGTGCTTCCTTTCCTATTCTAGCTTCATCGTGTGTATATATACACTTTAAGTCTTTGAGAATGAGAGACAACTTTGTTCTTCATATCATCTGTTTAATGATTTTTACTATAACAAATAAATTTAAACTACAAAATAAAGAACCTTGTAATTTAAACTCTGCACCAAACTGTGATATTTGATTTTTTTCGCATTGTATTCGAGTTGTTTATTTGTCAAAGTGCAAAGTGCTGCATAAGAAACTTGTCATTGAGCTGCAAGTTGCAACTTTAGACCCTTTGGAACTTTGGAATACATTTAATTTCATTTGCATGGACCTAAAAAAAGAATTCACTAGAAAAAAATGACTTCACCTACAAGAAAAATACTATATAGACAATTGTGTCTGCTTTGCAAGTAATTACAATAGATCTTATTAAGTCATCACACATCATGAGCATCAGAAAATGATCCTGTGGGGTTTTCTTCTTCCCCTTCAATTTCTACCACCTAATTATTTTGGCCAATACCTGTTCAGAAGTGTCAAACAAGGAAAAACAGAAACAAAAAGCAAAAAGCAAAAAGCAAAAAAACAAAACTAAGTGAAACTAACCCGGAGAATGTC